GGAACTTGCTATTCCATGCCCCAACATCTGGTCTTCCAACTTACTGGCCTGTCCTGCACTGAGGAGAATGAATATGGACATGGTAACACTCCTATCTACCTTGAAAGCTGGGCACTGGAGCTGAGTGTTATGGAAACAGGCCAGCCAAGAAACAAGCACCAATCGGAGTGTTGGAGTACTCAGAATTATTATGCCGGCGGGCTCAAAGGGGCTTCTGCTCCGAAGTTCTGAGCACCTCCAAGACGTGCACATGAGGTTTTAAAGGCTTAATTACAAGTAAGGGGGTATTAGACAATAAGGCTCAAAGAACAAAAAGCAAGGAATCAGTACACTGGAGCTTATCAATTTGTAATAGATCACGTTACTGACACTTGTTGAGCTTGGATTTATGGGTTAGTTGGAAGCCCAATAAACTGACAGTAAACTTCAGATTTACGTGATAGCCCAGCAGAATTTAGATCAGTAAACTGACACTTATCACACTTAGATTTGTGACTTAGCTTGTTAGCCCAGCTGGACTTTTCCTTCACATGAGGACAGCTCTCCCACATCCAGGGAACTACTGTGAGCCCTTGATGTTTCCACTAGGGTGGGGTGTGGTTTACCCAGGAGGGATGGGGCTCTGCACCAACACTCAGGCAGTCTGCTCTGTCTGGGGCTCTGATCTTTTACCACCCCGCTCCCCGCCAGCCCAACAGCGGGGACAGTGGAGCTAAGGCAGAGATCTTGCCTGCCTGTTTCCCAGCGTGTAAAAGGGGAATATGTACTCTTCCCAAGGTAGTTCTGAGCGACAACACCTGCGGGTGCTTGGTTCCCAGAGCAACAGGAAACCTAGCTCCGCGTGGGGGCAACGGGTGTGATACCCGTAGCGGTTCTGAAGAAGCATCGGTTGGAGGGCTGGATCAGGGAGGTAAAACTTGAGCTGCGGGCATTGAAGGGTTACAGAAGGGTACAGATGCAGGTTTGCCGCCTCCTTCGGGGTGCCTCAGAGGTAAAGCTTTTTCTCTCCAACTCCGCTACTCCCCTCCCCTCTCCAGATTCCTCCCTTCTCTCTGCTCCTCCTGTCCATCTGTCTCCCCCCACTTTTCCCTTCCTCTCCACCCGCTCTCATCTTCTCCCTCTCTCGCTGTCCCACCTTCTCTCGCAGAACCCAGAGAGGATCGCTGGCCCTCCTACGCATGCGCAGTCGGTGCTAGCTGGTCCCCTGGTTGGAAGCTCCATCTCCAAGCCAGGGATAGGCCCAAAGCCTTCTCAGTCGCCTGGTAGGCCTTTGGCTCCTGCCTGGGGCTGGGGACTCTGGCTGTGGAAATGCAAGTTGGCGGGCTCCCGGGAAAGGGGTCAGGAAGCTGCGGGAGGGCGGCCCGCCTTTCACAGCCCCCCAGGGCGCCAGTCAGCCTGTGTTCAGCTGAATTGCTCAGGCCAGACCACTTTGCCTGCGCCACCTGCACCGGCGCCCCGGCCACAACTGTCCATGGCCAGGTGTGCACCTGCCGCCTCTCACCCAGCCGGGCTCCCCTCAGTCTGCGGCTGGCGTCCCCTTCCCCTCTCCCGCCTGCGAGTCCTCTCCTCGGCCGCCGCTGGTCCCCACCCCTGGGCGGGCTGTGTCCCTGGCGGGCGGGGTCTGCGGACCCGGACGGGGGCGGGCGGCTTGGGCAGGGGCTGGGGCTGGCCTCTGAGCGGGGCTGCAGCCCGCGTTTCCGCCGCCTCTGCTTTCCCTGCCCCGCGACCCCGGGGCTGCCCTCCTCTACCTTTCCAGCTCCCTGAGGATCAGATCAGCAGCGTGGGGGCTGCTCCCTGGGCTGAGAGCCTCAGGCTGTAACGCCCAGCTTCTCCAGTTGGAGTCGGGAAAAGGGAGCGTCAGTGCTGAGCGAGCTTCGGTCTCCTCCCTCAGTGTTTCTGCCCCAGGTAATTACCTTGAACACTTTCAGGTGTTATGATGGCCGTGCTTGTTGTTGTCACGTGTTTTTATAGTGCGAGGGCTTACAGTGTTGAAAGCAAGGCTTGGTTCAGTTAAAAATGAGCTGAAGGCATGAGGCTGTGACATCCTCTTTCCTTCCCTCTCCCAGGGTGAAACGTGAGACCATCGATCTTAAAAAGATAGTTACAGTCTCTAACTAGCCCAGCCCAGCTAGTGTGTTTTAACAGGAACAGCACCACCAGAGGCCTTGGAGACCCAGGGACATTGCAGTCCTAAAGGGGTCCTGGCACAGTTTGTTGTGTTTTGGTTTTTTGTTTTTCTTAAATTGTGGGGCAGACTAGTGGTATAAACAGAAAAATAATTGTCAGGAATTATTTTTTCATATAACAGCGTTATTGTGATATAGTTCACACACCATGAAGTCCATCCATTTAAATGGTACAATTCAGCAGCTTTTAGCATATTCACAGTTGTGCAACCATTATTATTCCAGAACGTTTTCATCACTTCAGAAAGACCAGTGGACATGAATGACCTATCCACCCCTCCCCAGTGGTGTTTCTAAAGAAGTTTCTTGGCTATTCCTGACCATAAACTAACTTGTTATATTCCATGAAAAATCTGGTAGGAATTCTAATCAGAATTGCAATGAATCTGCCTATGAAAACAGGAAGAATTAATGTCTTTATGGAATAAAATTCTTCTACCCATGAATATATCTGGGACCCTATCTTTTCATTTGTCCAGAGCCTGGCCCATGGGAAGTCCTCGCTATTTGTTGGGCTTGTGAATGATGAGATTCTATACATTGTTAGTTGCAACTGTAGCCTTCACAGAAAAGAAAAGTAACCTCAGTGAAGCCAAGTGTCTCGTTGAGGGTCAGAAAGAGTGACAGCCAGTGCTGGAATGATCCAGTGGAGTTGGTGCTTGCAACCAGAATTCTCCACCACCTACAGCTAAGGGGATTAGAGTGTTCTTTTATTTTTTCTTAATGGCGTTGCTTTTATTTTTACTTATTATATAAAATTATTTTTTTTGAAGTGTAGTCAATTTACAATGTTAGTTTCAGATGTACAGCAGAGATTCAGTTATAAACATATGCATATGTATATACATTGGCTTTAGAGTGTTTTTAGTGAAACTCATTACAAGAAATTGAATATAGTTCCCTGTGCAATATAGTAGGTCCTTGTCATTTATTTTATATTTATTAATGTGTATCCATTAATCCTCCCTTTCCTGCCTGCTAACCACAGTTTTCTTTCTATGTCCATGAGTCGATTTCTAGCAGCACCGCTTTTGCTAGTAATATATGCTGGTTGGCAGTTTTCAGTTTCAGTAATTCCATCTTATCTGTGGGCACTTTTCTTCTGGTGGCCTTTATGTGGTTTCACACGTGGTAATAGAGATCTGTATTTGGGAGAACTCCAGGCCTCGTGTAGTCCCTGGTACAGAGTGCCCACTGAGTTGATGCTTGAACTGGGAAAAAAGCACAGTAAATGTTGGAATTTCCACTATGGTTGAGAATTCCAGGTTTCTATAACCTGTTTAGCCCACCTTAATATTGGGTGCACCCATACTGGGTAATTTGGTCGAATTTCATGGTATGGCGGTGTAGAGACAGGAAGTTGTATGCTTCTTCTCTTTCCTTTTTCTAACACTCATTCTCCTGGGCCTCCCAGATTCTCCTCCAGAAGTGCCCAGGGCTGGCTTGGTGCTGCAATGAGGCTATATTTGGTAATAAGGCCCTTTCCTCATCTCTTCTGAGCCTCCGTTTCTTTCTCTGCACAATGAGGGCTTAGACTAGATAAGTGCTTTTCAGTTTCTTTAAAGCCATGTTTCCTTTGAGAAACAGAAAATGCAAATGTCTCCTCTCAAACCAACCCTTTAGATTTTGATAAGTCCTCCAAGGGGTGACATAGCTCTTTGTGGAAAATTGATGTGATTGTGATTCCAGGTGGCACAGAAAAGACTCTTCAGAGATTTATTTCAGGGAGAGGGTAGAAAAGGGGCAGTATGTCAAACTTCTATTGTGAGCACTGGAGCAGGGGCTTGGATTTAAATACGGTGTCTGACATGGCCTCTTTCTAATCTTGTACAATGAGATAAACTTCTCTACCTCTGTTTCTTGATGTGTCAAGTTGGGGTGATAATTTTTTAGGGCTTTTTTGAAACATTATACACATAAGCCATTTGTGTCTCGGTAGAAAAAAGACCTGCTAGGAATTCAGGGATTTGTTTAAAAAAAATAATCTTGTCCATAGCACTCTGTCGGTGTGTATTTTGAAGTTCCTGGAGGGTGAGGGTTGAGTCTAAAGTCCATCGTGGGACAGGTTCTCCGTGCCTGAGATTGCCCCCTCCTCCCCAGTCGTCTTCCTCAGTCCAGGATGAAGTTACCTAGTAGATTCACACAGAGATCTTGTGGAAATGGCTTTTCATTTTATTGTTTCACCAAGAAGGGCTTCCATCATTATCTCTGTGGTCAGGTTTTGAAGGGCTGCAATCATGATATCTGGTCAGGTGAAAGCTATGCAATTGGGAGTTTCTATTTAATAAAAAGAAAAAAATTTCAAATAGAAAATTAGAACAAGGGTTGTGACAGGGGCTCTTGCAAGTGGGCACCATTAGCTTTCTTAGCTTCAGGTGCAGTGGCCTATTTCCACGAGGACCCGTCCTTGTGCTCTGAAGTTGAAGGGACCAGTGGGTTCAGTGAGAATGTTAACCAAGTGTATCTCATGGGCTGGGCATTGTCCTATTTGTACTGTGTGTTCATTTTTTGAGACAGTGAGCTCACTTAACCTCAATAACCTCTTTAAAAAATTATACTTTTTATTTGAGATGTAATGTAGATTCCCATGTGATTCTAAGAGATTATATGAAAAGGGCCTATGGACACTTTGCCCAGTTTTCCTTAATGATTCCATCTTGCAATGTTGGGGTACAATTCATTACTGACTCAGTAACAATTTCAGGTTTGTGTTATTGCCCTCATTTCTATTCACGATTAAACTGGGGTTTAGAGAAACACACAAGGTTAGTGTAGAGTTGGATGGAACGTGGGCCTGGGATTTCCAGGCAGTACCATTATGATGGTCTGTAGCAGGGAGCAGCATTCACTTTGTTTGTTTATTCATTCATTCAACAAACATTTATTGAGTAACCTCTGTGGGTCAGATGCTTTCTTAGGGTTATCTGATTCTTCAGCAGTACTGAGAATCAGGTTATTTTTTTTTTTTAATCTGAGAAAATTAGCTCTGAGAGGTTATAATCCCCCCAAAAGGAAATATAGCTCATAAAGGTGCAATAGTAAATTTGTACAGTCCCCCCTTTTTATGCAGGGGGTACCCTAGGCATTTTACATTTGCAAACTTGTGTAATCCAGATATATTCTTGTAAGACAAGGTGTTTTTTTTTTAATTGAATTTTATTCAAGTTTACAATGATGTGTCAATTGCAAGGTGTTTTTTGAATTTTGAATTAAAAAATATTTTTTGAAGAGGATAATTAGGTTTATTTATTTGTTTAATTTTTTAAAATGAGGTACTGGGCTTTGACCCCAGGACCTCATACATGTTAAGCTTGTGCTCTATCACTGAACTGTACCGTCCTCCCCAAGGAGAGTTTTCTTATCCATTATTCTGCAGCTTAGGAGTTCAAATAAATTGGATAGAAATCCAGATCTTTGGATCCTA